TATTGGTGGATTGGAGTTGCATAAGTTTAATTTACACATCTATCAAAGGCGATATAAAGTGTTGCGTTGTGTGAGTTTGTTGTTGTTCGTTGTTGGGCACGATGTTGTGCAAAAACGTTCCCAGTTACAATTCAAACTCTCAAATAAAATGGGGGAAAATAAATGAAGTGTACGAGGTAGAAGGGCGGCTATTGTGACTTTCTACGACTAAAGCCCAGTTCAGATTCCCGCAATGTACCGTTCTGCAACATTCCAAAAACCTGCAAGTTTGCACCAACGCAACTAGACGAGATGGTGTATCGTCTCCAAAACAACTACTCTCTTCAGTGCCGTTCTAACCGCAGGCTTTGCAGGCTTTATTTGTAACATCTTGAACTATAATTGAGGATTAGGGATAGTGATTTACTTGCTGCAGTTGCATTTAACGATGAAACAGCAACAACATAAAAACGAGACATGCTCACCACTGCAACTTTTCCCTGCAGCGTTCTAAAACAGTGTTTTTTCTCGTTGTGAATCTTTGGTCTGAACTGGGCTTCAGACCGGTCTCCCACTGCGGTCTCTGACTCCACTGAGACATTTTCACACACTCTGTTCTCCGCCGGACATCCATGATGACGACAGCTGCGGTTGCCAGGAGTCATGTGACGTAGCTACAGAGCCTCTCTTAGTTTATTTACAACACCTCAGTTGGGGCCCATTAAGTTTAAAGGGGTTCATGAGAGGTATAGTAACCCAGAGAGACAGGAGGGGGATAAGACAGACATCATTCAGTGTTTCAGCAGTAAAGACGGAAACAAAAATGTAGCAAGTCACTATCAACACTCATCAAGACTTTTATTAATGAGCATTTTTTGTTTGTGTGTTTGTTTGTTTTGCATGTTATTCACTGCCAGTGCTGCATTCAGGTGCTTCGGGTGTAACTGTCTGACTCTCTGTCTGTCTGCCACATGTCTCTCTCCTCTCTCAGGGTGAAAGATTATTCGTCAGACTGGTCAGACGACGAAAGTCCTAAGAAGGTTCTGGCTGTGAACGGTGTGGGGGAGGCGGAGGACGAGGAGGATCAGGTAGAGGGGGTGCGAGTCCGAGCGCTCTATGATTACACGGGCCAGGAGGCCGATGAGCTCAGCTTTAAAGCAGGTATTAACACTTACTAATGCTTATAGAAGGGAGGCATCACAGGGGGGATTGCTGATTTTTAGTTTGATTGATCAGTTTTAGTTTGATGACCGCTGTTGTTTCATAAAATGTGCAAAACTGAGAATAAAAACAAAACCTGGAGTGGAACATTTTGTCTTGAGGGACTGTGTAAGTTTTTGTACAATGCAAATAAACCAGCCCAACAATATATCCTGAAGATTTAAATGTTCACTGTTTGTTGACACTGAGTCAGAGAAGTGTTGATAGAACTCAATGCTAAGACTGTAGTTAGTGTTAGTTTGCAGAGAGGGTTGTAGTTGGCTGTTTGTTAGGCCTTTTAGCTCTTAATCACAAGATAGCGATTTGAAACGGTGAGATAAATAATTACCTCGGGATCAGAGTACCTCAAAAACCGATACAGTTTCATACAGAAAATGGAATAAATAATAATCATGTGAAAGCACTTAATGTGGTAATAACAAGACAGGGCTCAACAATAAGAATTGTCTGCTTGCCAAGTGGTAAAATAGAATTAAACACATTGTTTTTTCCGGAGCTGACGGTGGAAGTAGTTAAGCAGTGAGCCATCGTGCTTCCTTCTCATCTCAGTTGAGAGTTGTATATGAACCGACCGGACATTTGCAAGAAGATGGCAGCAGGTAGAGATAAAGTTTACGAGCTGAAGCACAAGCTGGCGTTTAAAGCCTCCAAGACCCGTCAAGTTTAGTTTCCAGAAAACTTAAAACTTTGATAAACAAATTTCTATAGAGGCAAGCAAATGTTAAAAAATCCTTTCCTCATTTACATAGTACTTAATTTATCCCACATCAAACCCCCAAACAGCAGTTAGCCTAAAGATAATTAAATACAACATTATCCTTAACATTGAAACCCATTTGCACATTTTTATGAAATTTCAGCTATCATAAGAGTATAAATATACAGTAAAACAAAATCATATATTTCAGAGTTCTCAGTAAATTCTCAGTCGGAAGATATTTTTTCTATTTTTGTTCTCCTGTGATGCCTCGTCTTAACACACTTACACACACACACTCATGTCAAACACATTGTTTCAGACATGAGTACCGGTGATCAAATGCAGTAAGACTGTAATGAAGTGGGGCCACACCCATAAAGCACACATATTACATCTTACCTCCGTCTGCATGTCAGTCATCACTGTGACCTGTTGAGCTGCTCGCTGGAAGTTCATGAATCTTTCATAATGAGTCCGTCTGAGTCACGGAAACATCTCAGCTTTTGTAAGATAAATTCAGATCCAGAAATGGACAAACAACCTGTGAACTGGAGCAGATTTTTAGTTTTCTGAACATAGAAAGTGGATTTTTCTCCATCTTTAACATTATACTTCAGTTTCTCTGTAACGATATAAAACTGGCTTGTTTCTGTGACTTGAACTGGATCATCATTGCAAAACATCAAATGTAAAATCACAGATAACATGAGGAGTGTATGTTTCTGCTGCACCTCACTGCATGATGTGTGCAGCTGTGACAGATGTGAAGTGTGAGCAGCTTGACATTATCTCTGGCTGCCGTTGAGTTGTGTTTGGAAATAAAAGCATTGTCATTCCAGCTTCAAATAAATTGATAGGATTGATGCTTTTATTTTGATAGAATAACTTCCTCGTTTGCTCTCTCAGTTGAAAATGAAAAACTCTTTTAAATACTTACCCCGTCTCACCCAACAATCAGGTCTTGTGGTGGGGAATAAAGCATATTCTGTGTGGTTTAATGGATGTTTTGTCTATATGAACATCAAGAATGCTAATTGTATGTTTAATCCTAATTTGAGGGATTATCGTAGAATAATCCGATTCCTCACTTATCTCATTAACTCGTCTCGTCAGGTAAGTAAAGTCACCTTTATTTAAAGAGGACTTTATACAGCTGAGCAAGTAGTATTTACAGTCAAACATTGTAATCAAATGATCTTTATAACGAGAGTATTGTTTCTCCTTGTGTGTTCTGATGCTGGCAAGATTATTATTCCTGTGTTCTGCTGTATTTAACGAGTAACGCCACACTCATAGCTGCAAACACCCTCGTCAGTCTGTGTAGATCCAGTGTTGTATATGGGGGGGGGTGTCTGTGTTTGTGTTTTCAGTTGCTGTAACTAGAACATGTACAACATTGCCTGTTACATCAGAAGCTCCGTGTTGACTCTGGTGGCAGGCTGGTCCTGTTTTCACTAGATGATGGTAGAGGGAAATTTTCCATCCAGGTAGATAGTGGCTCAGTGTGAAAACAAATGGTTGTGTAGTGGAGGAAACACATGCTATTAATATTGATTCTAGACTATCATTGTTTTTAATTGAAGGGGCATCTAGCGGTGAAGTTGTACAATAATAAACTTTATTTCTAAAGCGCCTTTCAAAATTAGAGTTACAAGGTGCTGTACAATAAATAACAATATAAAACAATAAAAACAGTGAAAACTACAAAACATTCAAAGTGGGGAAACAACGGGCAAACCAATCCTTCACGAATGGTGACAGGGTTAGGATTGTAGAATGACTGACCTTGTCCTCTTGTTCAAAATAAATCAGGGAATCAATGTAGGACAGCATCCTGGTGAGCTAGAAAGCTTTTTTTAAGTCAAGTCATGTGAGGAGATTATCACAATATTTATCTTAGTGTTTTTTGTCACGATGTGCAATAATATCTTATATCGGCCCATCCCTAATTATATTCAATAGATCCTCCTAACAGTTATGTTATGTAAGCAGTCCAATGCCACTTCTTTAGGTCTTCCTCCCATCCTTCTTTGTTCTGAGTTATGATCACATTAACCTGTTCGAGGTGTGGCAGGCTGTTTCCTCTGGCAAAGGCCGGTTCAGTGAGCGGAAACAAATCCACACAAGGTATCATCATACGAGAGTGCTGAGACTGCTGTTGAAAGTTAGGCAGCTGACTAACAGTGGCGCATTTACACTTTAGAAATGTTGATTAATGTGGGTTGTTAAAAAATAAATTAGACTGAGCCATAATGTGCCGTACAACCAAACATTGAGCTAAAAGTTGAGCCTCTTTCAGCTGAATGTCTCCGGTGTTTATGCTTTGGATGGGGACTCATGTTTCAGCAGGAGGTAACGTTAGTGTGGTTGGCTGTGGTTAACCGGGCCACTTGTGGACCGCCTTGATAGCCGCAATGGCTACAGCGCATGTCGCATAGCCACACGTAGACCTTTTCCACCAATGAGAACCTAGTGCTCGTTCCGGGCTGGTGCTAGTGCCGGTTCAGAGTTGGTTTAACTTGAGAACCTTCTCAGACCTAGTTTCTAAGACCTTTTCCACAGGCTAGAGAGCCATGTCTCTGGGGGTTAGATGGACACTGAGTTAATGGGACCTGATGGAACCACAGAGAGAGAGACCTTAGTTTGGAAAAGCTTAGCCAAGCTCAGCTCTGCTTAGCCTGAACCAGGACTGGATCACTGATGAACTGGGACAGGTGGCCTCTTCTGCTCCAGTTTGGTTATCTGTCTCATGAATGAATGCTTCCTCCCACTTTCAGTGGACGATATTTAACATTTCAGTGGACTGACGTTCCATGGTGTTCCTTGCAGGCGAGGAGCTGCTGAAGCTGGGAGAGGAGGACGAGCAGGGCTGGTGTAAAGGACAGGTGAGCAGCGGCCAGGTCGGCCTCTACCCCGCCAACTACGTCCAGGTGGTCGCTTCCTGATGTCCCGCCCTCTCTGGTCACACAGCCAATGGTACAACTACACTCAAGATGCCAGGACCAATCAAAAGCTATTAGTGCTGACATGTAGACACGTCCTCGGTGAAACCAGACAGTTTTTTGGTTGCTGACTGTAAAACATTTTTTTTTTTTTTTCTGTTGTTTGAGCTTCGTTTGTGAAAATCAGCCAGTGGAAAAGTCCACTTGTTGTGAAACGCTGTTTACTCAGCCTGAGGTCAACGACATTGTTGTTTTGAAAGAAGCTTGAACGGACTGTAGAAAAACATGGACGCCACTCATCGATTTCTGACTGGACCTTTTATCGCACTCTGGATTTTTTTTATTTTTTTTTCTCACTCGCTGCCATCATTTTCCATCAGTCAAATAATTTACATTTAATCAAAGAAGACCGAGCCTGGGTGGAGCTGAGGTGGGATGAGCAGCAATGAGCAACCACCACACCTGACTGTGGTTGGCTGAAACATCTGTCAATCAATTGAAAACAAAACATGCTTCTTTTTAAAGAAGTAGTTTTGACAGTTTGGGAAATCCGCTTTCTTGCAGAGTTAGATAAGAAGATCAATACCTCTTCTACCACACGGTCTTTCAGAGGCTGTAGTGGGCTCAGTTTATAAACTAGGGTGAAGATACTGGTATGATATGAAACTAAAAGACTTGATTGGTACCAACCATGTCATGCTTGACTAATCGTTGCTAATCCAACGCAGTTTTTCGCATGCGGGATAAAAGATGAACAATTGATGAAGAAAATATTTGTTTTTGATTAAACTTTTACCTAAAAACTGAATATGTGTAAGTTAAATACAACTCCCAAGGTGCATTTTTGTTACCTTTGGACAGAGCCAGGCTAGCTGTTTCCCCCTGTTTCCAGTCTTTATGCTAAGCTAAGCTAACCAGCTGCTAGTCTTTTATTAAATATGAGAAATGAATCGATCTTCACATCTAACTCATGGCAGGAAAGTGAGTATTTCCCTAAATATCAAGCTATTTTTTAAGACTTGTCATCATTAAATCAACTCATTAAGAGAAGTGAAATAAACCTGATGATGATTCATTTTGAATTTTATTAGATTATTTCGGTGCAGTCTTTAAGTTTTCTTGGATCCCGCTGTGGTGGTTGTTTTTTATATATATATATATATATATACTGGGTCGTTGCTGCTTGAATCATAAATATGGAAAAAAAAAAACAGAGACAGACTGTCAGTGCCTTAGTCTGAGGCCAGAAATGTTACAGCGCCGCCCTGCTGTCTGACCATGGAACTACAGACGTCTGCTGTGTGACGGCCTCCAGTCTGATCCCAGTAGAAACCAGTAGATCTCCTGTTACCTGGACTTTAAAATGTTTAACCTTTGACTGTGCAGGCAGCGTTTGATTGGCTGTAAACCTTTCATGCTCCTCCCGCTCTGCATTTAGCTTGACGGCGGTATGCTTCGGTTATTTTGTAGATTTTTAGGTGTGACACTGAATTCACTTTCTTTCTTTTTTGATTTTTTTTTTTAAATGTGATCGCTGTATGTTTATATTAAGTCAAATGATTTTGATTATGGGTGGTTAAACTGTTGCTACCTGTTTCTTTTTTTTTTTTTTTTTTTTTTTTAAGAATAGCATTTTTACAGTCAACTTATTTACTTTCTAATTTATTTTCCTCTTTAATTTAGCAATCATTCTTCATTTTAGACTGACTAAGGCAGGGAGAGTAAGGTTGACTGTTAGATTTGGGTCATTTTAACCTGTGGAAGGTGGTTTGTTGCTCCTTTTGCTTTGCTGTGCTGGGATCATGAAGCACACGCACCAACAGAAATCTAAAATAAGTGATAATATGTTGTCCGGTTTTGGGTTTTCGTGTTTAAGTTTGTGGTTTGTGTTTGAGGGAGCCTTCTCCGCCTGCTGATCTGAGCATCGCTACAGCTAACGCATGTAGACGTCCAAATAATAAGAGAGATAATATAGAAATTAACGCTACTGTGCTGCTCCTTTTTGATTCTTTCCTTTTCTTTACAAACCTGTAACATGTTCATTACGTAAAGTGGGGAGCAATAATAAAGAGCTTTCTGCAGCTGGAAGTTTTACAGACTTTCTTTTGTCCTCATATTGCTTTCATACAGTAATAATTAAAGGTACAATAGGTCATTTCTGCCACTAGGGGCTCTCTTACATCCAAACAGTAACAAAAGACCAAGTTTGATTGAAGAAGTGAGGGATCATGGGAGTTGTTGTCTTCACCATCATTGCAGTCTTTGCAGTCAGCTTCTCCTGGTTAGGATTCCTTCAGTGTTCATGGTTCAGGAGGTTTCTACCGGGAGCCCAGTTATCCACAGAGGTCTCCTCCTCTCCAAAACAAACAGACCAGCTGATTTAAAACAAGTAAAAACACTGAATAAAGCAGTTCCACCTTAAAAATCACTGCTTCTCCTTCACTGTTGGGCAGACAGAGGACGTCCCGGAGGGGCTGCGAGCCTGCGAGCCAACAGCCCTGTGCAAAGGGGATATGACGACCGGGAAAACGCAGCTTTACCTGAATAAAATGAGTTTGACTGACTGATTTCTCTGGATTGGAACATTGTTGGAAATATTTGTGATAATGTAAGTCAATAACTCAACATATATAACACAGGTTTAGTGTTTATAGACATTTTAATACGGAAATGGTCCAATGTTATATCTTTATTTAGAGACCTATTTACTGGTTCTGGAGGTAAAAGCCCCATTCATTTCCAACAATGTCACATGACTCACTGTTGGAGCTCAGATCATCATGAAACTCACGGTTGAATCGTCCGGACAAAACATGAACAACTGCTGGTTCTTTGATAAAAAGTTACAGGCTTGTGTAAATAAAACCTCCAGGTATAAGTTAAATACGTCTCCCAAGGCTTAAAAGTTTGCTGGGTAGAAGATAAAGATTACAATGTTGAGGAAAACCACATTCAGAAGGTTAAATCAATTTACTGTTAAATATTCTGGGTCAAATGTTGGTGAATTCAGCATGAACTAATCTCCGTGATTAGATGTTTATTGCTGAAATGCACCAGTTTTTTTATTTTTTTATTAAAGAACCAGATATTTTTGTGGTTAATCAGTTGTTTTTTAGCAATCTTTTGGTCCGATGGTTCAACCAGGAGACTTTAATCATGAGCTACATGACATTGAATGACAGCTCTGTAAAAGTCTCTTTTTGAGGTGAGTTAGCAGGTGGAGAGTTTGAGCTCTGTAAGTTTAAATGACAGTAGTGCCATCTGGTGGGGGGAGAAACAGTTGTTTGTAGTCAGACTCAGTACTCTTCCAAACAAATAACCTCTATAAATTCCATTTAGCTGCTTCAGTTTCAGGGTCCCATCCGCTCACTCTCATAATGTTATTAATGTTATCCTCCTCTAATGAAGCTGAAGGTGGTACATGCATAAGGTGGCATAAAAGCTCCACAAGTAAATATAATTCACATACAACAGCCTCTGAATACAGACTGTTTGTTAACAGAGGTTACAAATACTGATGATGACTTCAATGCCCATCACTCCCCTGCTTTTATTACAAGACCTGCACCTTTACAGTGGCAGCTCTCATGACCTTTGACCTTTTCTAACTCCTATACAACCTACCCCACCCTTGTCTGTCTAACAGTACATACAGCTGCCAGAGACCTTAAAGGAGACAATGGAGTTCCACAACTTCACTCCTCCTTTAATTCTCAAACTATCGTTATTTCAGCCTAAAAAACAACTCTCATAGACAAATGGACGTCAGTATAAATCAATCTGACATCAACTCTCACAATATGTATCACATGGGCTTCACAGACAGCAACATCTGTCCACACGGTCAATAAACAACCTCTCAACCAGAATGCATGGATTCTGGCTCTGGTCAGGGTTCACGTGAAAGCTGTCTGAGATCCTCGACCTCAGCATCCCTCACTCTCTCCCTCCACCAAACTTCTCAACTATCAATAAACCATTGGCTCAATTTGTTAACAGACCATGATGTATATCTGGAAAAGCTCACATTAACCTGAAAGGACAACCTGATCTGATTATAACAACCTAACTGACAGTCCACACACAATGTGCGTGCTACACACTGCTCATTACAGCCCCACCCATCAACCCCTTTCTCCTTCTCGGTTTCCTATTTCTGTAATGTAAATTCTTTGGTTTTGTAAATGCTCTTGTCATAGTGTTCCATGTATGTTAAATACACAAAAAAGATCTGCATTAGTGTTGCCGCTCGCTCTCCCTCTCTCTATAAAGACAGAGAGCGAGCGCAGATTAAGTACAGGCCCAGGGCACGAATAATTAAAAAATAAAGTCAGGTTAAGCCAAAGATATGAAAATCTGCAGACAGTTTTATTAAATTGACAAATTCTTATCTGTACAGCAAAATCAAATCTCACAATGATAAATCAGTTACGTCTTCATGTTACATGGTATAATCTGAAAAGAAAAAAACTGCACACTGATAAGGTTCGTACGAGATAGAGTCTCGCGTACAAACTTACGATATCTTCTTTATTTCCTGTGAAATGACTGTGATTCAACACCTGACTTCAGCAGAGACACACAGGAACATAAAGATCATTTAGAAAAGCTCAAAGCAGCGAGCTGCTGGATTCTATCTGACGACGGCTCGGCTTTCAGGTAGAGGACGTTTCTTTTTTTCACACTCAAATCCCTTCGAGAATGTTCACAAATGGTTTGAAACTTCAGCGGCGTTAACATTTGTGAACGAGCAGAGAACAGCGTGTGTGTATGCTGCTTCTGTTAACTCCCTCACAAATACTAACGCACAACCAGAAGCTGCAAAACATCCGCTAAAAGAAAGGTGTGGTTACTTTTTTATTTTTAGACATCTTTTTACATGTGAATGAGATGAATGAGGCTCATTGTCCAGTCAGCTCATGTCAGCAAACAAACAAGCACTTCAATGCACAACAGATGTGATCAAGTTAAAGTGCAAAATAAAATATTCATCAATCAGAAGAAGAAAAAAATCTCTTTAGTTACAGTTAAAATAGCCTGAAACAAAAGCAACAATAAGTTTATGGCTTGAATGTCTGTAACATACTGAGCGATTCTTTTCTACCTGGATGGGAAATGTCAGCATCAAGCAGTCCCTCCAGGATCTCACAGCCTTTATTGGTCTTATTAAAAAATGACCCAACTTTTTCTCAAAGTTTCCTAATGAGTTTATGGTTTCAGTCTCTAGTCTTCTTCCATACAGCATGATATTTATTTAGTAAATTATGGTCCCATTTAGATTAAAATATATAATGCCTGATTTCATGGAAGCTTTTCTTCGTGTGACACACGTTGCAATGTTTGTAGGAATTATTTTGCAATTAAATTGCGTGAGAAAGTAAAAAATAATTGCTATTTTATTGTATAATTAATTAAAAATTGAAGGCAACTTGTTCCAGTGAGAATAAAACTGCTAGTAGTTTGGTGACGTATGGCTCAGTGTTTTGCTACGAGTGTTGAAACTATGATGATTGGTCAAATTTGTGGAAAAGTTGCAGGGACTGGTTGAATTTGCGTTAGTTGTTGTGACGACATCGTAACTTCCTGGAGGGACTGATGAAGCCAAACATCCTTTCTAAGTTTCCTTTAATATTACTATCTGATGCATTCCTAGTGATCGTCTCATATCACCTGGTAAAAGTGACCCCGTACAGATATTTTGCTTGTATGCGTCACGTACGTTTATTATGGAAGTTACAATGTATCTGATATTAGTCAACTCAAGCTTCAGATGATACACATGTATAAATAAAACAGAATTATCTGAATCAGATAATTAATAATAATAATAATAATAATATCACAATCAGTCTTACGCAACCTTGATCAGTCCGGCTGCACTTTATTTTTCCTCTGCTGTCTCTCACTGTGGCCCTCAGGCCCTCCCTGCTGCAGTCAAGAACATTTAAAGCTGCTTTAATAGATTTTTTTTTTTTTTGGCTACTTGGGGACAGCAGAACAAGCCGTTTAGTGCTGGACACGTTTATAGGAGCTGGAGCCAAGGGGGTGATTAGCTTAGCTTAGCATAAAGACTGGAAGCAGGTGGAAACAGCTAGCCTGCCTCTGTGCAGAGTTAAAAACACACCTCTAAAAGATCACCGATTAACAAGCAGAAACCTCTGTGGGTGCTAATGAAGCCGACGCTGACGTAACAAAAACTGCAGTTCCTCTAACGGCCACTTGAGGCTGACTACAGAAGTGAGTCAATCTCCATAAAGGCCCCATATTAAAATGCTCAACTTTACAACATTAATAAACATGTTTACAACCGTTATAGCCAAATTCCCTGTTCATGACAGCTGTACGGGGGTGAGTCTCTGTCTTTATGCTAAGCTAGACTAAGAGCCTAGGAAAAGAAGCTATTATCTACTGACCCTGTTTGAAAAGATTACCTCAGACTTGTTTGTGCCCATTTTCAGACGATGTTTTGGCTCATGTCTGATCTACTGTTATGTTTACATGCATGTTTTGAGTGTAAATGTACGATATGACTTTAAACATCGAAGTAGTGTGGGCTGACGTCTCGCATGCCATCGATACACGAGTTATTTGCAAAAAAAGGAACTAGATGCTTTATCTGTATTAATAATCACTTCCCCCCTCACAAAAGAAAGACAACGGCGCATGTTTGTGCACTGGCAGGTCGTACAGTTATAAAATGAAGCCTCTGTGTGTTATGTGATAGATTGTGTTGGTTCATTAAAAGGCAACAGAGAACAGGGATTTGGGACTACACAGGTCATGGTGATCCCGGAAGAATCAAAAACTTGTGGCTGAACTGGTCCAAATGTAGAGAGTCGTACCTGGCGAGCTGGACGCGATCGGGACGGGACTTCAGGATTTATGAAGAAAAATGTTGAAACATCACAGAATTCAACCCAAAAGTTTTGCCTCAAGATTTAAAGTTGCTCCGTGTGCGATTCAGGCAGCCGCAGTCACTTAGAAAGAAACAATGTCCTGTTGCTCTACATGCTCCAGTCTTAAATATCACAAAAAGCATCAGGACTCAACGAGTGGAAAGCAATCCTAACCTCAGAAGCAGCAGCCCTCAGTCACATCATTAACAGCGCTTATTTAGAAACTTAAAATATGCCGGACGACCTCACATCCGGCCCCAAACGAAGTCCTCGGCAAAAGCAGATTTGTTGGGAGAAAGATACGATCATCAAGGGAAAAAACACTCCAATCAGACAGTCAGTTTGGAGAAGCCCAAATGGAGATGTGGAGGGGGGAGCGTTTTGCATCTGATGCAAATATTCAGCAGCAGCCAATAAACAAAGGAGTTCCAGATGTGGGTACTGGCGTTGGCACTGTGCAGGTTGGCTGGTTACAGACCGGGCATCTGAGAGAGGAGGAGGAAGAGGAGGAAGAGGAGGAAGGAGTCTTTCACGATGTGTCCGAGCGCTCGCCCTCTACCGGTCCTTCAGTTCTCTCGTCACTCGCTTGGTGATCCGCCCGCACAGCAGCCCCACGAGGAAGAGGACGCATACGCTCAGTGCGATCATTAACAGGATGTAGTTCTTGGAGGGCGACGTCATCACCTGCACGGCCAGGTCTGAGAAACCCTCTGCCGGCGCCACCTGCAGGACGGAGAGGAAGGTTACTGATGTAGAAAACAGCGTCGGGCAGTAACCACTGACAGTGTACATAATGCACAGAGCTTCTGGGTCTGTGAAGTGTCTTAAACCTGCATCCTAGGTAGCAGGGGGCAGCTCCACTGGTTGCAATAACACACAGATACCATTCAGTCTTATGGAGAAAGGAGTCGACCTCTCACTTGGTTTATTTGCTCAGTAAACAGTTTCCTGATGACTTTATGGTCTCAATCTCTAGTTTAGGTATTTGAAAACTGGGTGGCAATAACAAGCACCCAACTCCCCATAAAACAATAACTTGTCATTTGAGTATTTGGAGAAAACCAGGGTAGCTTTCCTCTGTTCCCAGAGCTTATGCTAAACTAAACTAAGGCTTTACCTTTGCAGCGTAGCTCCACATGTCGATGCGATCTTGAAGTCTTTTCTTGCACTCCGGCTGCAGACGGACTCTCTTGTCCTGTAAGGCCTCCATCAGACACGACATCTCTGGATGGTGAGAGGGAGCAACAAATGAGGACATTGACACACAGTGGCAGTGAAAAAGCCTCTTTCAACAATATTGGTTAGTAGTGACAGATTAGTCTTAATTCTTTCACATCTTAAAACTAAAATAAAAAAAGTATATACGTCGTCCTCTGCCGGGTGTGATGGCAGCACAGTGGTGTTTGAGGTCCAGAGCGCAGGCTGTGTGGAGGACTGGGTCCACAAAGATGTCCGCCTTACTCTCCTTCAGCATGTTCAGGACTTCCTGCAAACAAGCGGCAGAAAAAAGAAGAAAAGAAATAAGAAAGCACGAATGCACAAGTATCTGCGACTGTGGCTGATTTCTACAGTTTCCCCTGTGAGTCAAGTAGTGGAGTCACTTTGCAGTCGCAGAGTTTAAGGGGAATTTAAATGGCAGACCACAACAGAGGAAAAAATACACCTAGAGACATTTTAAAAGGACCAGTGTGAGGGATTTATGCTGCATTCACATGGAGTCAGGCAATTACATTTACCTTTTTACAGCCGTCCTGTTTGATTTTCAGTAAGTTGACTTTCAGACACTCTTCTACCTGACCGGTCTGCTCCTGAGCTGCTGCCTCCTCTGCACACAGCCTGGAGATCTGCAGGAGAGTCATAGTTGATGAAAAGATTGAGTTAGTTTGATGTAGAGATCTAAAATAGACCTCTGGGTTTAGTGTGTGCGTGTACGTGTGTACGTCTCTGTGTGTGTGTGTGTGTGTGTGTGTACCTCATCCGAGCAGTGCATCTGCAGCTGTGGGTCCAGTCTGTAGTCGAGCGCCGACTCCTGGAGAATCACCTCTAATCTGGTCTTCACAGTCTGGTGACAACCTCTGAACCAAACCCCAGTCAGAAAACACACAATTTAACAGCAACAACAACAACAACTATGACTGATGCCCTTTTTTTTATCCTTTCACTGTTTTGTCCCTTTCTTTTATTATGTTTTATGGATTGTCGAAGTGTTAGTGAGTGTTTTTATATCGCTGCAGTCTCCTCCGGGGGTTTTAGTACTCTGGTTGTGTAGTTGTGAACTAACCTGGTCGGCGTATTTGAGTTTGAGACAGGCGATGACCTGACCCTCCAGCTCACTGTCCTCGCTCGCCTTGTTCAGGATTGGCTGGCAGAACTTTGGGATGTCGGCTCGGCACGCTTTTCTTAACACCGGGTTCAGCCTGTAGTCTGGAGGAGGAAGAGGAGGGTGGAGAGGGGGTGTCAGAGAGGTGAACAGGATCACGTTGAGTCAGATTAGCAGACTCCAGTCTCTTTACTGACCTGTGTTCTGTGTGATCTGTCTCTTGGTGATCATCTGTTTGCACTTGGGATCCATCAGCTCGCTGTTCTTGTTCTGTTTCAGACACTGAAGGACGTTCCTGGCGTCCGCTTCAGTACAGAACCGCTGCAGGAGAGAGTTTGTAATTCCTTCCATCAATAACCAACACTGTTTAAAGGATCATTTAAATGTATTACAACCAGTGAGGTCTGGGAATCGCTACAACAAAAACTGTTTAACCAGATTAACTAAAGCAACATTATTTGGAGGTAAAACTGAAAGTGAGAGCACCAGAAATGTAGCTAATAGTTCCTCTTTGCAATGGAAAACTGTGTGGAGAATTATGGTAACTCCATTACATTACAATGGGTTTGTTTATAGTCTGATGCATATTTCTTCTTCCATTTAGCAACGTCTCCATGTTAGTTTCGAGAATACTGCTGTGAGTACACAGTTACCAATACAAATTGCAAATATAAGACCAAAGTTGTATGAAATCAGAATTATCTTTTTGAACACGCTATACACAAACTAAATCAGGCAAACAATGAACCCTTCAAATACAAAATCTCCCCCCTCCTCCTCTTCCTCGTCACCTTGATCATCTGCTTGCAGACTCTCATCAGCTGGTAGTCGAGCTCGGGGTCGGTCATCTCCACCTCCTGCAGCCTGAAGATCCGCTGGTGGCAGCGCTGACTGAGCTGCTTCTTCTGCTCCTTCAGACACTCGATCATCTGAGGGGGAGGCAGGGGGAGGAGAGAGGGGAGAAAGCAGGGGAAAAAGAGGGGAAGAACAATATGAGGAGGAGAGAGAAAATCCATGTGCCCAAACCATCTGATGATAATGTTTTTATTGTTTTGTATCTGATGCTTCTTACCTGAGCATTACCAAACGCCACATTGGGACACAGACGGCTGATGTCGGACTTACAGGGATCATACAGCTCTGGTTCTAGCCGAATATCCTCCGACTGAGAGTGAAGGAGAGGAGAAAAGGACGTTTTTTTACAAACCTGTAGCTACAAAGTTTCATGATGTTACATTAAAGCATGAAAGTTTACCAGCAAACTAAACAGAAGACTTGATTTTGAGTCATTCTGATGTATTATGAGGTATTGTATTTGTGTGTGTGTGTGTCTGTCTGAGGTACCATCTCCAGCTCCTCCACCCGCAGCTGTTTACGACATTTGAGTGAAACCCGCTGCTCCTTGGCCTCCTGCAGCGTGTCGTTCCTCACCGTGGTGCTCAGACAGATGACGACATCCACCCTGCAGGTTGATGGAGACGGAAGGTGTGAATGATGTCCGATTACATCACATCAACTGGACGCAGTTGTCTGGATCTTTTTATGGAAATGTGAACTCACTTTTTCTTGATGTTTGGACACAAGCGGAGAACGTCCTCCTTACAGGCCATCTTGAACTTATAGGAGAACCGGAAATCCTTCATTTGAATCTGAAGGTTGAGTACAGGGACATTTATTGATGTTTATTGATGTTGCTCATATGGCCAAAGCAAAACAGTGTCACCTGTCTCCTTTTGACCTGCTGGAACAATTCAATATCACTGAGGGAACCATTGAAGCTTCACACTCTAAGTCACACGAGAGATCAGCTGTGACACGAACTGTTTCTGAATGAGTAACCTGACCTCGTCTTTGTTTTACCAACTGCTGTCTTGTGTCGGTGAGCCGAGGGCAATAAAGATTACTATGACAACAAAGTACAGTCAGCTGTTTCATATGGTACTTTCATAGGAACAGCAGAACAAGAACCACTAATGTTAATGTACTATGTACTACACTAATGTAAACGTAGAGAGAGACGGCTGTCGTCATGATAACTGACCAGCTGGAAGTGTGTGACGCCGACTGCACACTTCTCGTTCATCTCCTTCTGGTGTTTATTCTGAACCAAACACTCCATCAGATCACCTGTATCGATCTGGTTATCAGCTACATCCTGCACACACACACACACACACACACACACACAGATTAATTATTACTTAATTATCAGATTAGTCACACTTGAGGAAAAGTCACTAAAATCAAAAAAGGTTCAACCTTTGGGGTATTTTTAACAGTTGTGTTATTAAATATTAGTAGATCATTAATTGACATATTAGCAGAATGTCTGGTTCGGGTTTTCAAACTGGGGTCCGGGGACCAGAATGGGTCCTTGGGGGAGTTGTAGGGGTTCCACACCAAAAAGAGGAAACAAATATTTTAATGTTTATCACACTTGGACAAGGGAGGAAACAGGGTTGGCTGCTTTGATTGACTGTAATTTATAGTGATCCTAGTTTGATCATTGATTAACTATGAAAACTTTATTATCTTCATAAAATAAACTAAAACTAATTACTCAGAGCAGATTTGTGGTCTGATGTGCATCTATTCAGGGAGTCCTAGACCTCCTCTCTAGAGAACAAATCTAGTTCCTGACATCCTCCCTTGTGGATAAAAGTAAGTGCATAAATCAGGAATCATAGCTGGTGACCATAAATAAGCAATGTTTCGTCTATGAATGATGTTAAAGATGACTGTAACCTCACTGACAACATGAACAAATCATCAAATAGAATCACCTTCATGAGCTTATTATTATCAATTTGAACATTTTCTTTATACTGTGAACATTTGCAGTCTTCTTTTTAAACACTGTAAACTTATATATGCTGTACATTTTCTGATTTTATATTGTAGAATTCTTTAATTTTGACAGTAATTGCACCAGAGATAGCCGTTAATTTGCCTCTGTTGTCCCTGGGCTGGTAGTCAACAAAAATACCACAGAACAGTAAATACATAGAAGTAATCAGTGTGAGATAATACATATCTATGATTCTATAATCTTGACTTCTATAGTACTTGTTTTTTCTTGTCTCTTTCTATGTGCCTGTTTTACTGTCTGTATGTGAAAAACTACTGGGCAATAAACCTGATTCTGATTCACAAACTCCCAACCTTACCAGGTGTTTTGCTTCATTTTGTGCAGCCCTGTTTATGTTTGTGCGCATGTACTCACGTGGCAGTGCGCCTGGGTGACGGGTTCACAGGCTCTGATGAGCAGAGCGTCAATCTGGATGTCCTGCAGCAAACAGTGAGACAGAGACAGGGAGTTCAAAATGTGCAGGTGAGACAGAGAAACACTCACTCAGTGAGCATTAATGCTGGTTTCTACTTCATAATAACAACCTCTAACCTCTGACTCCAGCTCCGTCAGATTGCCCACGACCTCCCTGCAGGCAGACACCAGATCCTCCAGGTGATCCTGCAGACACTCCAGCTCCTGAACACAGCAAAGAGACACGCGATTAATTATTATATATATTGAAATGGCTTCATTCAACCATGTGAGGTTAGGAGCCGTTATGGTGAACCAAACAACCAACAGAGGGCGCTCAAACATCAGTCACAGGGTTAAAGTAGAGGCTGTAGCGGCAGGTATCAGCAGTAGTAACAGAGTGTGTGTCCGTCTCACCTGTCCAGTGTCCGTCTTCTCGCTGCACCACTTGCCGAGGTCGGTCATACAGCGTTTCTGCAGCTCAGGGTCCAACTTCACATCCAGCGCCCTCTGGTGGAGAATCCTCTGAACCTCGACCTTACAGTCCCGAGATAACTGCGCGCCACACACACACACACACACACACACACACACACACACACACACACACACACACACACACATAAGCTTATACTAGAGCCTGATGATGACACTGAAATGTTAAGACCAATGTTAATATTTAAGAGAGTGGATTTGATAACAATATATAAGCCAATATTTGTTTGACATAAACAAACATTTCTGATGAGCATTCCGGAAATTTGTGACTAAGATTATGTTGTTTACTTCTATTTTTGTGAGGAGCTGCATTCAGAGTTACTGTAATCACCACTTTACAACGTGTAATTAACATTAACATCATCATGTCAACAAGTCACACTGTAATTACTGCAGGGAAACCTTTGCTGACAGCTCTGATAGATCCGACTTGGCACAAATAATACAATACAGTAGTTCCTGAGAAAGTAAACAAACACGTAGAGCTCAAACCATTAGTCCATTGACAGAAAATTAATCGGCAGGGGTTTTGATCATCAATTAATCGTCATTTTGTGAAGCAGATATGTCAAACTTTGACGTGTGGCAACAGGAGTTGGGTTCTAGGAAACGGTGCTGATTTTTCACTGTTTCCTTTATTGACCAAATGAATCATTTAAAAGATTGATTGATTATGAAAACAATCATTAGTTGCAGCACAAATATGGATAACTCCACTCAGCCCAAGTTTATTGTTAATTAAAACCAGATTTTATGCATATAGTTGCTTTAATTTAATTTTCAAACTTCACAAAACCAACTTTTAAAAACATAAAACAACCTTTAGCTGTCTGAACTCCTGAACTCCTGCACCTCGTGACCAAATGAACTCTGAACTCAAACATAAAACCTTGTCTTAAACAGCTCTTTGAGGAAGTGTGAACTAACTTAAATGTCCTCTCTTTCCAAAAATGAGCTCGCTCTCGAGGTCTAAAACTCGCACAATGATTACTGAGACCACATAATCATATCAAACCAAGCTGTCGAGGGTCTCCTCCCTGATGAGTGTAACTACCAAAATCAGGGCTGAGTGGACTTTCCTACTCATTGCCTTGCGGGGAGAAACGCTGATTACATGTCTATCAGGGCCAGTCAGACATTACAATCACAGGGCAGCCCTCCAAAACAAACACCTCAAACTGCGTTCAGTGCCACAGTGCAAGTACTTATTTCTTTCTTTAAAAACGAGATGCCAGTAAGTAAATGTGGAGGGAGGCAGAGCAGAACAATTGTTGTTCTTTCCACCTCTTTTTAAACATATTTTAACATTTTAACTTCAAATTTGTCTACTATTTTCATATTTAAGTTTTTGTGCTATATAAATAAAGTGTATTATTATTATTATTATTATTATTATTATTATTATTACAGCACATCAGGTGCGGAGTTGTCCTCTAGCATTACCATCAGGTCAAAGTTTTAATTCCAGTCCAGCTGTACTATTTACCTAATATGGTGGTAATGGAGGTAAACATTACGCCTGCTTAACATCAGCGTGTTACCGTTGTCGCTGTAAGCATGTTAGCATTTTGACATTTAGCATTTAGCTCAGAGCACCTGAGCTCATGGAGCTGCGAGCATGGCTGTTAATAAGCTATTACGTGAAAATGTACTTTTATGGCCAATTCAATTTCCACCAAAATTAAATGAGTCATTTTAGTTGTTAAGCTTTTGTATATTTAAGCAGTCAAAGTGACAAACAGCCGCCGCTCGGCCTCGCCGTGGAGCAGGAAGTCACACAAACACACCCCGGCCTATCAGTGACTGACAGACATGGATTAATTATTGCCATCATCATCATCAACTGAACCCTTCACCGGGATCAATACTGATTGATTGAGGTGAGCCACCGACCACTTACCTGGCCGTCGGGGTTTACCTGGTAAATTAAAAAACATCAGAGTTACACCTGCTGATCCTGGTACCAGAGAATCCCACAATACTCAGGTAGTCTCTGACGTTCACACACACCATCCTGTATACTGATCACATGAAAACCTCTCCGGCGTTAGAAATCAGAGTGTGTGTTTCGTACCCGGCGTCCCTGCTCCTCGGTGCGGTAGGCGTGGCGGTACAGGCAGGAGAAGACGGCGCCCGGCGGCATCAGCTCGCTGGTCTCGTTCCAGCCGTGTGTGTGACACAGTCGAGCAGCGTCGCCCTGACACTTCTTATACAGGATGGGGTCCAGTCTGGGAGACAGAGAGAGGGATCTGTGTTAGACCACAGGCCATAAAACGACTTTTTGTAAAGAAAAGCTTTAGAGCCACGTGAAAACAAACGATATGAAGTCAGAATTTCAGGATTCAGGCCAATGTTCTAAGATTAAAGTCTGAGGAAACTCTTCTGTTTTCATCTGGAGATTAATCTCATGACCCAAATAATCATTTTCACATGGTTCTAATAATCTGTGGGAAATGAACTCTAATGCTGGGGGACTGGGAAGTCTGGGAAGTGTTCGCTCTCATAATCGAGCCTTCCTAAGCCCCGCCCCCATTTGCTCAGTAGTCACCGCCCACTTTTTGAATTGCTCCGGTTCCAAAAGTGAATTTCCCATCAATTTACTCCACTGACGTTTCAGAAAATCCTTATATATGAATATAATCCTTCTATCCAACTATGAGATGACTCGTAGCCATAAAACATTTGATTAGTAGCCAAAAGCAAAGCTTGGAAAATGGGAAAAAAGTCAAAGCTACACGATGTTCTTGAACCATTGTCATCATTATAGTGTTTATATCATTAATAATAGTGTATTATATTGTAGTTTGTGTTGTGTGTGTGTGTGTGTGTGTGTGTGTGTATATGTAGTGTAACGACATTTTTAGTGCGACTCATGCAGTTTCATGTTGACTCAACCCTGTTTGTGTCGACTTAATAAAAAACGCAGCGTATCAGAGAGAGAAACTGTGTTTGCTCTGTGGTTGAAAGTTGTTCAACTGTTATCGGAGCACAGAGCAAAAAGGGGCGGGACTTAGAAGAGCCAGCTAGACAGCTGAATTATCACAGCAGAGTTTCAATAACTCGTAATACACATTGACACTGATACACACTTCTCACGTTTAAACACTGAACACTGTGCTTACATACAAAGTCCATATTTAGGTCAACTATCTCCATACGGTGATGAAGACTTTGGAAAAAGCAAGTGAGTGGAACCTTCAGTGTTATTAGCTGTTTATTGTTGTTGTATTTGCAGAATATTAATTATCAATAATATTTAGACCTCAGAGCAGACTCACTTCCAGTCTCTGGATATGAAATACTGCAGCTCCAACAGTCGGTGCTCACAGTCCTCCACCATCTTCTCTGTGTACAGGTGCTCCATCAGGCACGACAGGATCCTACACACACACGCACACACACACACACACATATAATTTGTTGTCACACTCATGTTAATGAGGTTAAAGAAGAAAAGGATCAACTGGTTATCTGACATAAGTGTGTGTAACCAGCTCACATTGGGTCTCCGTTGCGGATGTGTTTGCAGGCGGTCTGGATGACGGACTCGCAGGCCTCGTTGAGCGCTCGGTCGATCCGGTAGTCGGCTCCGGGGTCGGCAGATTGGATCAACGTCTGCAGCTGCAGCGGAAACAAAGTTTAGAAAAATTTAATGTCAGCAGCTCCATTTTATTTATAGTTTTACATTTAATTCATTGATAAACAACATGTCAAATCTCCACAGACACATTTACGATAAATAATACTGCCTGATTTATGGGAGCAGTTAATATTAGATAATGTAAGTTTGCACAACAAAAACATATTTTATTTTCATTTGTATTTTTGCTAGAAAGCCAACTTTAACCCTGTATAAGGCTGAAACATTTATTTTACAGAAACGTAGAAAAAGAGCTGTTAAAACTTTATCTAAATTTAGCTAAATCTTAATAAAAACTGAACTGGCTCTATAATAACTCAGGTTATTATTTAGTGACTCTCAGATTTCTCTTTAACACTGATGCATCACAGCGACAGTAACCGCGGTGGTCTTACGGCGCTCTGGCAGACGCTGTCGACGGTGGTGCTGCGGTCGCCGCGTCCAATTCTCATCAGGCAGTGCAGCGTGCGGCCTTTGCGGTGCAGCCCGGAGCAGTGAGCCTCGATCTCCGTACGGCAGTGCAGCACGATCTCCGGACTCAGAGAGAAATCCTCCATCAGCATCCGCCGGTAGTCCAGCATCTCCCCCTGACACTCGCCGCTGACGGGACGACCTGCACAGCACAAGATCTGGTTATTACTGACGCCACTGAGCCCTGATGGCACAAAGGAGGCACATATTTCCTCCATATTTGACATGTATTAATGCAAATTTCTTACTTAAATTGCATTCATTTATTTATTTTTGGCCACTTGGGGGTGGCAGAGCAATATTTACCCTCCTTTTAACTCTGTTTTGGTCTCCACCATCTCCTGAAGAAAATATCTGGTTCTTTAGCTGCTAAATGTTTCATTTTCCTCATCAGGTAGCTGCTAACTTTTTCTATCTGCTGTTTGGTGCTAGCCAGGTAGTATAAAGTATACAGGTTTATCTGAGCCTTTTTGCTCTAAACAGCTGCCTACTGCTGCTTTATGAAGGCATCAGGAGTTTTGTATAATAAAAATATCTGCTTTTTGTTTTTTATATGTAATTTGTAAAGTCAAAGTTATAATATTGACTATAAAAGTTCTTTCTTGACTCAAGGTCCAGATACTAGTTGTAATAAAATAAAAAAAAAACTACCGAAATGAACATTGCAGCCCTTATCTCGTCTACTCAGAGTTATATGTATCTGTATGATAGTTTAATGGACCTTGTGGCACTCTACTGCCATCAGGTGGCAGAAGGTTCAAGATAATGTAAGGATGCATCACATGGTTTAGTCCAAGTCCCCTCCATAAAACTACTGCAGGCAAAAGAGGTGTAAATCCCACCTCACCCCGTCCCTCTACTCACCGCGGTGCACAGCAGCCTCCAGACACAGCAGCAGGTACGACAGGCGAGCCTCGCGGGCTCGGGGCAGGTTGGTGTCCAGGCTGCAGCGCTGCTTCCTCAGGTCCAGCTTACAGGCTTTAGCCAGAGAGTAACTGACTCTGTAGTCCTGAGAGATCAGCTTCTGACGGGTAGTCAGAGCGTCACGGCACTGTGGAAAGTAGAAAGAATTTAGTAATTATGCCCTCTTAACCCGCACTGCCCCCTGGGGGGTGAGATAGTGAGTCGGTCATACCTTCTCTGACATGGCCTCTTCAAACTTGTGATTGAACAGACACTTGTAGACTTTCCCTTCTCCTGCCTGAGTCTGTGGAGAGGAGGAACAAAAGAGACTTTAATGAATGGATGATACCGACTTTGAAGAACTAACACAAACATTCAAACCATATTGAAATGATTATTATCATCATTATTGGGGTTCAAAGTGTAAAATCCTGCAGAAATCAGAAGCTCACATTCTGACAGAATCTCTCGCGGTCGTCTCGGCAGGAGAAGTAAAGGTGGCGGTCGAGGTGGAAGTCGTCCGACGACAGCTCCGCCACCCGCAGGATTGCCCTCTGACACTCCTCTTTGATTGGTCGAACGTGATCCTGCTGCTCCGCCTCCCTCACCAACGCCCTCTCCAGACAGGCGATCACTTCACCCTGCGAGTGAACGTCCTAGAGAGAAGAGAAAGAGAGAGAGAGAAAACAGCGGCGGAAGAGGAAAGAGAGGGAGGTCATTGCATGTGACAGGCAAAACCAGCATCGACTGGAAGAGGTCAAATGTCATCAGCCAGGAGATGGAGAACAATCAGAGAACGCACACACACACACACACACACACACACACACACACACACACCTTGTGTCCTATGTTGATGCTGCCGCAGCGCAGGGTGTTGATGTCTTCTTTACATTTGTCCATGAAGCCGCAGATCAGTCTGTAGTCGCTGAAGATGATACTGGTCATCTTGGTGATGTACTGGTTACACTGGTACTCGCTGATGTTGCCACGGTGATCCACCAGACAGGACACCAGGTAGCCCCTCCCTCGCTCCTCCTCGTTACACTCCTTTATCTGCAGGTATCGAACACGTGACAAGTTAATGGGCCGAATTAGAAAAAAGAAAAAAGTTATTTCTAGAAATACAAAGTTAAACTGTTTGTCTGGTGATATAAAGTTCAAGTATAAAGTAAATGTACGAAAGTATAAAGTTTAAAACAAAAATAAAGTACTAAAAGTCAAAGTAGTCATTATGCAGAATGGGCCATTATAGAATAACCTAGATTATATTATTGTATTATGATTACTGATGTATGAATGTGTTCATTAGCTGCCTCGATCGGTAAGTTTCTTTGTTACTGTGTGATTTGGTTGCTGCACATCGAGGCAGCGGGACACCAGCGACTCCTTTGTGCTGCGAGGTTAAATTACTGGTTTTGTGAAAGGAGTCTGGTTGCTTTGGAGACCGATATTCTGTTTCCCGTCATGAAAATATTATAAACCGTCGTCCACTTTAGGTAATACACTGACTGTGAATAAGTACCTCATACAACCCCACTTCAAAAAACCCCGAACTATCCCTTTAAGGAGCTCAATGTTCCTTCACATTGAAGGGACCCAGTTGTTCAGGCATTTGATCAGGATGCCCGCTGGATGCCTCCCTGTGGAGGAATTCTGGGAGCGTCAACCGCAGGGCAGACCCTGATCAGACTGGAGGGATTATATGTCCCGTCTGACCTGGAATTCACCTCCGGATCCTCCAGGAGGAGCTGAAGGGCTCGGCTGGGGAGAAATGTATCTCGACTACTTTCCTTAGCTTGCTACCGCCACAATCAGCAGAAAATGGACGGATGGAAGGATTCAGATACTAAGAAAACTTAGTCAATACAGTGAGTGAATCAATCTGTTTTGTATACTATTCCCAAATAGAAGCTGGTATCCAAATAAAGGATGAAAGTAACAGCTCTGACAAATTACCAATGCACTGCATTGTGTCTCTATTTATTAACTTCAGCGATTGATTCAAATCACTTAATCTACCATTAAAGTTGTAAACTCAACAATTCCTGCACATTTGCCTGCCAGAAACCGGACAGATTCAACCTTTTTACTGTGAAACATCTGTGTTTAACTGACACTTGCTTAATATCGATCAAAACCAACTAAATGGGGAAAAAGTTTATCGGTTAATCAATAGGTTGTTTGGTCCATAAAATGTCAGAAAATTGTGAAAAATGTTGATCATCGTCCTCAAATGTTTTATGTCTACAACCCAAATATATTCAGTGTACTGTCAGAGAGGACTGAAGAAATCTGAAAATATTCACATTTTAGAGAATTTACATAGCATTTTAGAAAATGATTAATTGGTTATCACAATAGTTGCCAGTTAATTTAATAGATGACTAATCGATTACTCAGCTAATCGTTGCAGCTCTGGAAGCGATCATTTGTGAATAAAAACAGTGCAGTGACAATGAGAAAGATGACTGTGGAGGACTGTTATGCAGTTGTTGCGGAGAGTAATGACGACAAAACAAGGAGGTTGGCAACAAAATCCTAAAATATACTTAAAACAAAACTTATAATAGAATATATAGAATATATATATACCTGTATATAAATAGAATTATAGTAAAAGTGAAATTAGAAATGGCCTGTCTCTAAAACAAATAAACAATTTTTATGATGTTGACCTCACTGAACCTTAACTAAGTTAATCAGTACTGTAACTTATCAAGTCCCGTTGCTACTATATATAAAACTATAAGTCAACTAGCTCACTAAGTTTAACCTTCATTTACTACTGTGTTTAATCATAACACTGTAAAACACAGAAAGCTGAACCCTGAGGCTCCTGTGGTGCAGACTGACCTCAGCGATGGTGCTCTTGCAGACCTCCGTGGCCACAGACTCGAACTTTGGGTCTGTGGTCAGATTGAGTTTGTAGTTCCACAGCAGCTGAGGGAGAGAGCAACAAAAAAAAAAAAAAAATTTTCAGAAACAGAATCAGCGTTACTGTCCAACTATATGAACACATACAAGGAGTCTGACTCCGGTTAGAAGTTTATAATTTACAGGAAGATAGAAACAAACATAAAGCTAAAAACAAAGCTGAACAAAGATCGGTAAAATAAACATTTCATACATACATACAAACTATACTTTTTTTATTTTTATTTTCTGGGTATTTTCGGGTTTTGGTATCGTATTGTATTGTATCGCATGTTGTGAAGTAGCTTGTAACTCTTGACAGGTGCTTTATAGAAATTAAGTGTATTATTATTATTATTATTATTATTATTATTATTATTATATACACAGAGCAACAATTACTAACCACATACAAAGTATATATACAAGTCGTGTTTGTGTAAATAATAATAGAAATGAATAAATATTGAATGATTAATTACTTTACACAGATTAAGTGGGTGGTTATGTACAGTATATAAACATGTCTGTACACAGCGTGCGTTCCTTGTAGGGGCTTTAAGTATATCATTTATAATTAGTAGGTGGGTAAGTGGATGTTTTAAAGAGCAGTTTCAGTGAAGATACAAACAAAAGGGCAAAGGTTTTATAGTCTGTCACTCTGCCATTCGTAGGCGCACCGCACCATTAAAGTGCTGCTATTGTGAAAAGGCATCTGGGCTTCCATCATTTCTTTGTGCATGGGATAAAAAGATGTCATCTAAATCTTATGGCTGTGCACTGAACACCTGTTTCTCATTCACAGCGACTGGAAGCAGTGGGTGCATCAGAAATCTGCATCACAGTCGGTCTCAACCTTCACGCCTTGATAACGAGGAGGACTGAGGCCTTTAGAATATGAATCTTTTGGAGTAACTGTCTAAAACTAAACAGACCCTGCTTTAGCCCACTGCAGATTCTCAAATGTATTCCTCCAAAACAAACCCTGATAAGATCCACCGTGACATAATCAAATCAACATCGAGGGAAGTTGCACGACAAATGCAGGGTGAGGGGGTTTGTGGGCATTTACCAAGCAGGGAGGGGGGCTAATGAAAAGATGTTATTCAGAGTCAGTTGCATTATGGAAATGTGAAAATTCCTGCATTTATGGAGCTTGACTCATATAACAGACTACATGTCAGCGTATTTCAGCCTTTTCTGCTTCAATTTTGACATTTTTTGTTCAAATCTGTCTCTCACAAACTATGGAAGTACAGTGCTAAGTGGCTGGAATATCCCTTTAGCCCAATACCAACCATGCAGATCAGATTTGTTTAATTATGTAAAGAAGTTTCCAAATGCCCGTTTCAGATTCTCTTTCTGTCTTTTTGTAAATGTGTGCGTTTATTGTTTTCCTGCCAGCGAGGCTCCAGCTGCAGCAGCCACAGATAACAGCTACTGACAGTCAGACCGCCCAGAAAATAACACCACAACAAAACAAGAGAGCCTTGTGTGTGTGTGTGTGTGTGTGTGTGTGTGTGAGTGTGTGTGCATGTGTGTGTGTGACATGTTAATTGCAGCCAGGGCTTTCCAGTGCTGTAATAAAGACAGTCCAAGTGGTCCATTAACCTTGTGGCGTCGCATAAACCTTTCTGCCATTAACGGCTGTGAACTCTGGAGGTTTATCATCCAGAAGACTCTGAGACGAGCTTTAGGAACCTCGGGGTGAATGTGCAACTGCAGTTTGTGAAGGTCATCAGTTATGGTTTTTACATAAGCCGATGATTCTTCAAAGCTCTTTTTATTTTTTAGACCGTCGACAGCAACAGAGGAAGAGACGTTAAACAGAGGAAACAACCTTCATTTATTCCAAGGTGGAAGAAGTGCTTAAATATTTTACTTTAAAAGGTCCAGTGTGTAACATTTAGGACTAGTTAATATAATATTCACCTGAAAATAAAGATCATTGTGTTTTTGTTCCCTTAGAATGAGACATTTTATCTCTTCTACAGAGTCCGCCATGTTGAACCTCCATGTTTCTACAGTAGCCCAGAAAGGACAAACCAAACACTGGCTCTAGAGAGGGACGTTCATGTTTTTTTTTTTGCAGGTTTCACAGCTACTGTAGCTGTATTCAGTCCACATCTTACACACTGGTCCTTTTAAGGAAAAGTAGTAATATTACAGTGTATAAATACAAAAATATTAGCATCAAAACTACGGCTGTCAATTAATATTCTAAATTCGATTATATAAAAAATAAGGGACAGTCGATTATGAAAGTCAATAACCAGTTTAAAAAGCTGCTTGACTGAGTCACACAGCCACTTTCAGTCACTTTCACTGAAGCTGAAACAAGCGAATAATCCAACTACAAGTGTGTGGTAATGATTGTAGAAAGCTCACAACCCAACTCGGCCACAGAGAGTGATTAGCAATCAAAGAATCCCCATTTGGAAATAATTCAATAGTGCCAAATCATAACAATAGCTACATCTGCTACTGCTAAACACATTTAAGTACCAAAAGTACCATTTCAGAACAATGTGTGTTAAATGACTGGATCATAATTATTGATGCATTCATGTGTTCATCACTTTAATGTTGCAGCTTGTAAAGGTGGAGCTGATTTTAATTACTTAATAATAATTTATTTATTTAATCTTATTTATACTATTTTGTATTAATAATCTACATCTGCAAAGTAACTTCAGATAGCAAATATACTTACTTCAGTTTTGCCTCTGAATTGTAGTGGAGTAGAAGTATAAAGGAATATAAACTATAAAAACTAAAGTTAAAGTAGCTCAAAACTGTACTTAAGTAAAGAACTAGTAAACTAGTCAATAAACTGAAATGAACTGAGAGAACTATCAAAGTAATTTTTAAAATGATGGTGATCTGTTTTTGCTTGATCACTTTATTTCTTTATTTCAAATTATTTTAAATATTTCAGTTTAATAGTGCAAAAGACATAATAATAATAAGATATATATAATAATAATTCCATTTGATAGAAAGCTGCATCCATTAAGAAAACATTGATTTTAAATAATTCACTCAATACAAGAATCAGATATCCTCAATTAAGTTTTGGAACAAGTAAATATTGACTAATATATATCGGTGATATTATCATCCAGTCGAGAAGAAAACATGATTTATGTGTGTGTGTTTGGTGTGTGTGTGTGTGTGTGTGTGTGTGTGTGTGTGTGAAATATAAAAGGTTCATCTCTTCTGTTAATTATTGACCTTTAACACAGACACTAAATGAAGTAGAGTTTATACAGCTCTGAGACAGCTGTGCTGGGACACAGCAGAGCTTTGAGCTACATGCTCACAATTAGACACAGGGCGATTTAAAATATATTCACAGGATATTCACAATCTAAGTACGTATTAATTAAGTAATTAATGTAATCCACACAAAAGGTTAAGAGACAACGTAAATAAACACAACACAGACTATTATAAAAATTAGTATTATTACCATGATTAATTACCACGATACATTTATCAGGGCGTTTTTCAACCTTTTGCGCAGATTACGTTAATCTTACTTTACTCTGGTGAGTAATTAATTGGTGTGTTGAGTGTGGCTGTGTTGGCTCTCTACCGCTGTCTCTGCTCTCACACACACACACACACACACACACACACACACACACACACACACACACACACACACACACACACACACACACACACACACACACACACACACACACACACACACACACACACACACACACACACACAGAGCTGAGCAGAGAGGAAAGAGACAGCGGAGAGAGATGAGATGGCTGCACCACGCATGAAAGCTGTGTCAGTAAAAGAAGCTGTGTGACAGCTGACGTAAAACAAAAGATCGATCAGCCCTGATACCGATCGTTGAGATCGGATTGAGACATTACTATAAAAAAAGAAAGGTTCACCAAAGCTTTTACATTCCATCCTGAGGAAGATATTTCACTCACATCAACCTCTGACATGTTAAACACATTCTGATTTGATTACATTTACCAACATTCAAAACTAGTCACCTATTTCCTGTCTCTCTCTCACATTTGAAATTTCCATTGAAGAATTAAACGTCAGTTTGCAGGTGTGTGTTTTGGTGGAATACTCACATGGTTACAGTCAGGAGCAATATCAGTTTCCTGCAGAGAGACACAGAGAGAAAGACGTTAAAGGCCATTTTATTCAGGGGAATTCATGAACACAGATAAAACGACTGATTGTATGTGTGTGTGTGTGTGTGCTCGTGGCAAAATCCGGTCCCAGAGACCCTTACTGTAGCGAGAACTTACACAGAGGCAGTTTTGAGTATACTTTGGCAGGACTTTATATGTCTGTGGACAAATATTGTCAATACGATAGAGTCACAAAGCGTGAAAGATTTAGTCACGAAACTTTAAAGACGTTTAGTCGAGATCAAAACAAAGGCAGAGTTCGAAGGTGTGTGTGGTTCGGACCAGAAGTGCTGAGTAACGACTACAGTACTGACGGGTCGGAAAGGTCAACACGTTGTGCCTGTTGTGGTCAAGTCACGAGATGGTCTCTAGTTACTTCCCTGTTTGTGCACGGATTAAACACACAAGATATAACGGTTTAATTAGTGAGTTTTACACGTGTCTGGAGGTGTATATTTGAACCTTGGACAGAGCCACAGGCACAGCTGGCGGGGGTTAGGCAGGGCTGGGTTTCAGTGAAAATTCAACTCAAAATATATCTCATTCAGCCCGTATGATATCTTCAAGCAGCTTATTCTGCCTTCACAGCAGTGCACGCTGTCATTTTAACTCTAGGTCTGTGATGAAGAGTGAAAGAGAGATATAGAGGATACATCAGAGCTCAGGCTGAACTACGTGTGTCATCTAGCTGCAGCACTTGCTGTAGGTCTTATAGTTTAAGAATAATGTCTTGCTGAATATAACCATAGACAGATCAATTGATATATAAATATAAAAGCAGCATGCAGTATACATGCAGTATAAATCCAATATAAAGTCTAAAAAGACGAGACCAACCGGTCACAAGGAAAATAGAAGCAATGTCACAAAGTGAGAAAGTAATAAGCAAAGGTTTTAAAGCAGCAGAAGCTCTTCAGACTCCCCCACAACATCAGTGACTATCTGAGGAAACACAGCGGGAGAAACTGTTCTTACAGATTCACATCACTTCGCAGTGAAAGACATGAAAGCACTTCTTGTTAACTCTGCTCTGTCATTAAACTGTCATTTCCACTAAATGTTTCAGAGACAGAGGAACAAGTGTAATGAGAAAACAGACCCTCAGTGGCCTCCTAGATAAAAAAAAAAATACCAATTACTTAGACTATGAGTTATTAATTAATGAAGCTCTGTTCCATTCACATCAAAGGCTTCTGAAACAAGACCAGATTAATCAACTAGACGGATCAAGCTGAAGTGGTAACAGAGGCTAATTGTGTCTGGGTAAAGGGGGGGGGGGGATGTAACAAAACTCTGTTTCTATCACAGAAATAAACTCAAGTTTAAATGTCACTGAAATTAGCCTCTGCATATTTAAGCTAACAAAAGGTTTATTGTAAGTTTACTGTAACACAGTTGGAGTCCCTCGTCTGTGACTGAAAGTCATTCAGATGACTAATATGTGAGGTGAAAGGAGTTCCTCGCAGTGATCAACCTTAACTCTGCAGGAGCTACAGCAGCTTTTAGCCTCTTTTAGCTCATTGTTTTGGTTTTAAGGCACATTTATTCTTTTGGTTCAGCTCTTGTCAACCTTGTTTCCAAATGCACAAACCTATTTAATTGGGTATAAACCAATCACAGAGTTCCACATCACCTAAAGTGGACTGCAGTAGAGCCACCCCTCTTCCCAGCAAGCATTAGAGAAAGTGAGGCAAGGAGGAAGTGTAAGGTATATTTTTGTCTATTATTATTAAAGATGTACAATGTGGATTTTCAGCTGATATAATAACCTTTAAATACCTGCTTCTCATGGCCGATGCCTATAAGCTCACTGATCGTTTCATATTTCCAAAGATGAATGATTTCATATTTCATAACTCTGACTGACATCACTCTTCAAATGTATGTTTTCTAGTAAAGTTCATCAAAAAACTTCACAAACATACTTTGGCTTAACAGAATTATGAAACATTTTGCAAAAGACTTATTATAATATAGATAATATATAATTTATAGGCTATAATATCTTAGTCAACTTAAATAAAACGAACCAATAGAACAAACTAGAATTAGATATTTATTATATCACCACCAATACTTAAGATACTGTTCATGGTAACTGAGTGACTCTGCATTTTTACTTCTTTTATTAAGATATGCAGTGTTAATCTCGTGAGCCCTTGTGAGGGGTCCCGACCCCCAGCTTGGGTGCCACTCACTCACACAGATCGTGATATTGTGATGAAAAGCCGTACAAAGCGACAGCCAGCGTCTGCATGTGCTGAAAGAATCCGAGTCAGTTCAAATAAACATGTTTGCTGCACTGGCAGAAAGCGTTCCCTCTAACGGTCCACACAGCATCCTCACTCTCCGTCAATCCACAGTCAGTAAGTGACACACAGACCCAATGACCGCGGCTGGAAATGTCCACAGGCCTGTTTACGCTGTGGCAAAGTGACTTCCCGTTCAGCAGTTAGTCTGTGACTGCAGTGGCGTTTCTTAGACGTCTCTCAAGTGTCGGATTTCAGGGCTTAGACCACCACAAATAAATGCTTCAACGCTGTCGGTGGTGTAACCACACGCTGCTTTACTGCTGCGTCTGTATCTGTATCAGTGTGTGTGTATGTGTGTTTGTGTAGGGAGTGTGTGGGGTGGGGGGGGTGTCTTTCTCTGGAGAAGAGGCAGATTTATAAGAGTCATTTACCTCTTCAGGAGGCCACAGCTGTTACAGAGTTGAAGCGATGTAATTATCTCCGTAAAAAGGACATCGCTCAGGAAGAGGAGGAGTGTGTGTGTGTGTGTGTGTGTGTGTGTGTGTGTGTGTGTGTGTGTGTGTGTGTGTGTTTGACGTCAGCATGGTGGGGGAAGGTGAGGGCTGACGTCAACATGATGCTGGGATACTGGGGTGAAAAAAAGCCCACCAGACTACACAGCAAGTCAACGTTCATCCTTTCAATATGTTTACATGCACAATATTCTAAAACCCCAATTTAGCATTTATAAGCGGTTTATGAATAAGTAATAACTGGTTTATAACTCACTATAATGTAGTTGTATGCAGCTATAAGGACTTGTTTATTAATGTTTCTTAATTGTCAGTGTCTCCAATGAAGACATATTTTATATTATGAACTGTTTTTACTGTATTGTCATTCATTATTTGTTGGGGCTTCTCATGAGGAGTCACATAATACAGCTGCCAACGTTCTGGTTCTGGCCTCCACGTCATTCATTAATTCTTGATAATGGGCACCTCATCGGGCATTTTCCCTTACGTGCGTCACATGGGGAGTCGTTCAGTCCCTGCAGGATGTCACAGGCTTACTTTGGGATTGTTGGGGCCTAAAATGTCTGATTTCACAGCATCTTTTCGAAAAACATCTAAAAATGTTGAGATGTTTATAGACATTTGTTTTGTGTGTGAAAGTGAAAACTGAAAATAGTTATGCTATGATTTCTGAAACTTACAGGTAACTTCGATGATTGTTCAAATTTGCGGAAAAATAGCAACAATTGGACAAAATTGCAACGTCTCTGGGATCGACTGAATTGTTAATTGCTGCGATTGTAACATCGCTACTTCTTGGAGGGGCTGGTTATAGTTAAAAAATACATTAATACACACTTTGACCTATAGTGTGTTGTAAAAAAAACATTTATCAAATGTTTATAGATGCAACTGAATACCTTATTCAGAAATTGACCCACTTGAAATTTAAATACAACTGAATTTATAGTACTGAAATATCTTATTTTGAAAACCATGTATCTGTATTCATGTGGTCTTTAAAGTGGTTCAATTTCAAAAACTTTTCAAAAATCTTGTTTTTTGTTGTTTTTGGATATTCAAAAACTAAAATGCATCTTTTTTTAAAATATATTCAACTTGATAAAATTCTCATCTAGAAATTAAAGCTTAAAGATTCAGAATTCAGACCTGACTGATGTAAGTAAATTTAAGCATTTTTACTTTAATCTTTAGATGCAAATTTTTGGCAGAATTTGAGCAACTTGAATACAGTGTTTTGTATATTTTACATTTTTAAATTAAAATTACCTACTAGAAGTTTTAAAGACTCACATTATTGCTATTATTTGCTTTCGTACATGTTTGGTAGCGCAGAGGAAACATCTTGTTAGCTTCAATAATACGCCGTAGTTATTTTTATTTCCTTTTTGGCGCAGACTGATGAGTAATCCAACTCTGTTAATCAAGTGTGTGTTTGGTGTGTGTGTGTGTGTGTGTGTGTGTGTGTGTGTGTGGACAGATTAAACTGGGTCACCAGACTTGTCATCAACACATCTGATATCTTCCTCTAATAGATCAGAGTCCAGAACTCCGAAGGGAGGAGAAGAAGGAGAGGTACAGTCGATAAGAAGTCACTTTACGATTCTATTGGCTGAAATTAGGGCTGCAGCTGACGACTGTGTTGATTATCAATTAATCTGACAAGTATCCTGCCAGATCTGGTCCGTAAAACGTCAGGAAAATTCTGAAAAACAGCCATCACAAGTTCCTGAAGCCCATCAAACTGCTCGTTTTATCCAACCAACAGTCCAAAGACATTCAATTTACGATCACATAAGCTCACACTCACATCTCAGACACTGGAAGCAGCAGTTCTGCCTGCAATTCAAAAGTCAAGTCCAATATCATCAATTTGCCTCCAGGAGCTTCACAAATCGTACAGCAGACACCCTCTGTCTATTTATTCTCAGAGCCTCAATTCAGATAACGAGAAACTGCCCGACAAATCCTCAGGAAGAGCAGCAGAGGAGGAATCCAAATATATCCGTCTGATAGTCTGCACAAACTGACACCACACAACTCTAATAATCAACTAGAGCTGCAGCGATTAGCCGGTTAATCAATTCATTGTCAACTGTTTAGATAATCGACTTTTTCAAGAAAAAAAATGTCTATATTCTCTGATTTCAGCTTCTTAAATGTGATTTCTTTCTGTTTTCTTTAGTCAGTAAATCTTTGGGTTGTTTGTTTGTTTGTTTGTTTGAGATCCCCATTAGCTTCTGCACAACAGCCGCTATTCTTCCTGGGGTCCACACAGTTTACATGATGCCAATACTACACAAATACACACACTCACACTAACATAACAACACACTAACATACAGAGATTTATGTGAAGCCAAATTTAGCAACAAAAAAAAACCATAAACAAACAAACAAACAAACAAACACTGCTCACCAGTGCTACAGGAAGTATTCGAATCTTGAGCAATACTATCTGCAGTGTCCTGCATTCAAAATCTTACTCAAGTAAAAAGTAAAAAGAGCATCAAACTCTACTTAAAGTACCAAAAAAAAAGTACTTAACATTCAGAATGGCTCATTTCTGGATTGTTAATATTATATTACTACGTTATAATCACTGATATATTAGGGCTAGTGTTACTTTAATATAGCCGCTGCTAAAATTTTAATTCATACTTTTATTATTTATAAAAATTATACACTAATGAAAACATAACTGTGAATATTATACTGCTGACAATAGATCCTCCTAAATGTTCCACACTGGACCTTTAATCTAAAACAACACATATTTTATTAGTTGATTTATATTTTGTATTAATATTCTAAATAAATGTAGCATAACATGAAAATACTCGATTAAAGTAGCTCAGAATTGTACTTTAGGTACAGCACTTAAATAAATGTACTTCCACCACTGCTGCTCACATTCACGTCCAAAATAACCGTCCAGAAATGAATGTGTGTACGTAGGCGGCAGATCTTGAACACAGATTGTGATCAGCGTGAAAAACATCTAGTTTTTTTTTTAATCACAAAGAAAACTCAACAAACGCAGGAAAAAGTCTGAGCTTTAACTTCACCCTGTTAGTCATGTGACTGCTGGATGACTGCACACACACACACACACACACACACACACACACACACACACACACTCACACCTCCCTCAGGTTGATAATTACTTGGCCGGGGTCGCAGTGAGCCGCTGTACTGTGCAGCGTGCTGAGTGGGAAAACCTCGAAACCACATCGAGCCTCTGGTTTAAGCTGAGTGTGGTGCTCTTGAGATGGCACCGTCAGTCGCACAGTTGGTGTGTGAATTTCACATCCGAATGTGTCTTATTTTAGTCCAAAACATAAACAAACAAACAAACAAATAACTAAATGAACAACATTAATTATTCTAACGATTACATTATTGTTTAAGATACTTAAAAGACCTGAACACAAGCTTCTTATAATAATATAATAATAATAATAATAATAATAATAGACACAAAATTGTATAAAAAGTTCCTAAAATATCAGTCAAATTAATCTCTGATGCTCTGATCAGGAAATAATCTGCTCAAAATTCATCCAAATTGCTCTTTTTACACAAACTTCCTGCAGTTATTGTGTTGACTTGTTCTGTCCTGTTATTGTTATGCACTAAATATAATATTAAATATCCATAAAATATGTCACTTAGTCAGTTTACTGACTTAGAAAAGGGAAAAAAGACTTAAACTGACTAAAATTGATAGATATTTTTTATCCTACGAATGTGGAGAGGACTTTTTATATTTAATCCTTCATGTTAGGAATTAAAATTTACAGAGACTCTACTTAACTGAATAAATTAAATATGAAAAAGCACCTTATTTTTTTTAAACTTATTGTTCTTTTTTAACATCACTTACTTATATTTCCCCTAGTTCTACTCTTTAATTAGATACAGTATTTGAATACAAATGTAATTTCTATGTTGAATTTGTTGATTTGACTTCTAATATTACCAAACTTCAATAATGCATCATGTATTGTGGCCTGTTCTGCATCCAAACCCCCAATATTCTGCAGGTTTTACTACAGCTGCGAGGAGTAAAGAGTACAAAACTACATGCATGTGTCTCAAAGTTACTCATTTGTAATATTATTGCCTAATTTAAACATTTCTCCCGTGTTTATTGTGGTAGGAATATGTGTAGTGTCAGAGTGTCAGACAGGTGAAACAGATGTGGACTCCTGGTGCCGTGAATAAACCAGGTGTAAGTGTGTGTTGGACCCTGATGCAGGTGTAGAAGTCCACCTCTCCATCAGCTCTTCACCTCCGCATCATGCTGACAGCCGGTGTGGGTCTATAAACCACCGGGGCGACACACCCAGCAGCTGCCCCTCACCTCACGGGACCGGTGTGAACCCCCACCCACCCCCCCCTCACACAACCAGCTCTGCGGGCGGCCGCTTACCTCTCTGCGGTCCTGCAGGCACTCCAGCACGGCCAGGTTGTTGGTCCAGGTGTGTTTGGGGCAGAGGCGGGTCAGGTCCTCCCGGCAGGCCTCCTCCTCCGACAGCTTCCAGCCGGTCGCCCTTCGAGGCGGTGAGGCCCCAGCGGCGGCGGCGGCGGCGGCGGCGGCGGCGGCAGGTGCATCCTTGGCCGGGGGATCAGCGGCTCTGAGGACGGGCGGGTTGGGCGGTTCGGCCGGGCCGCTGGCTGCCTTCAAGCCGAGGACGGAGCCGAAGCCGCAGAGACACAGTAACGACAACGGCAGCAGCAGCAGCAGCAGCTGAGTGCGACTGTACGCCGCCATCTTCACACCACTGTCAAGCTTGTGCTAATGATACTGCATCACTTCCGGTTAGCAGGTTCACAATAAAAGCCTTCTGGACCAGACTTCATGTTGACTTCCGGTCATTTAAAAACGTAAAGAAATAAAAGCTTTTCGGACCTGGACCACTGCAATGAGACAATGACATGGCGTTTTTATACTGCTGGGTTGTAATATAGGATATAAGATCATTTTAAATATATATTTTGTTGTTATATAATTTAATTCCACATCCTGGATAAGATAAGATGTTTCTTTATTGATCCCCTTTAGGAGAAATTCAAATTGACACTGTAGCATTAGGACAATGTAGTGCAAAAGAAAGAGTACAGAAGTGGAGGTACAACAAGATATTACACACAATAAAATATTATAAATATAATAGAAAATATAAGACTATAAGTGAAAGTATATACACTATGCAATATTCAAGTAAGCAATTAACTATTAATAGAGAGCAAATATTTGAGCATGCATAATGAAATTAAATATAAATAGTTGTACTTCACCAGCTTGCTCAGCTTGTTGGCACCCCTAGTCCCGATGCCTCCTCCCCAGCACACCCCAGCAAAGAAGAGGACACTGTGGCCACTACAGACTGGTAGAACATCTGTAGTAGCCGAGTGCACACGTTCAATGACCTGAGCCTCCTCAGAAAGAACAGCCTGCTTTGTCCTTTCCTGTAGAGAGCCTCAGTGTGATCCGTCCAGTCCAGTTCATTGTTAAATGTCCCCCCAGGAACTTGTAGGTGTCCACCATCTCTACCTTCTCCCTGTTGTGCTTGTTGTCACTGCTGGAATGTAACTAAGTACATTTACTCAAATACTGTGGGCTACTTAACTTGAGGTAGCTACCACTGTTATTATAGTTAATTAAAACTGAACTAAAAACTAAAATTAGAAAAACACATTTGTCAATAACACGGATTTATAAGCTAATATTATACTTGTCACTTTGCAGATTCACGTTAATAATACAAAATATGTATCAACCAATATATTATGATATATTGCTATAACACCAGCATATAAAGTAGCTTAACTGAAGTTAGCTTTTACCAGCTGTAACATTAGTGATGCTTAATTATTTTTAATCCAATAATACGACATAATGGACCATTCTGCATAAAGAATACTATGTTTTGTACTTTAAGTATATATGTTTTTTACTCAAAAGATCTGCATACTTCTTCTGCCACTGGTTATTGTGTACCAGAGTTTGTATAGTTAACACTGACCATGTGAAGGAGAGATGGCACATCTTGACAAAACACTCTTCTATTATATGATCTTCATCAAAAAACTCAACATCAAAAAAGTTTTTTCAGTTTCCTTTGGAAGTTCAGATTTCCATTTTTTTCCCTAAGCAATAAAAATTGACCATGAAACATCCATGAAAGTTTGGCTGAAATAAACATTTCTTATTGTGCATGTGGGTCCAAGATCTCATCCAGAGGAATATAATCAAAAGAATCACTTACTCTGATATTTTAGTGATCACAAAAAGATGTTAGATGAAAATATAAAATAAGTAAAATAAGATTAATATAGATCAATATAGATAAATTAACCTGAAAATAAACATGTATAACCTTCAATGCCTGCAGTTTGACACAAATGTTAAACAAAACTAAATTAAAAACTAAAACTAACTTATTTATTCACTTTTTAAATACTCAAATTAAAAATATTAAATCATTTTTTGTATATTTTTGGGTTGAATTGTGAGTATTGCCCTTCTGTTAAACCACACACTGTATTACTCGCCTTTGTTCTTGGCCTGTAAATCACTCACAAACTCACTCATGCAGGTCGCAGGTTGCAGATTGACCACAAGGCAGAGCTGTTCAGTCATTGTCAGACCAGATCTACACCTGACAACCTGCACCACCTGCAGGAAAGGAAATCAACACCAGACCTGTGGTTGTAGATTTGTGTTAATGTCGCCTCCTACAGGCAAAGAAAGTTATAGATGCTGTAATTTTAAATGTAAATTGTCATTTGCTGTAAAATTATAATTTAAAAATAAAACTACTCGAAGAGCATCAGTGTGTGTGTGTGTGTGTGTGTGTGTTGTGTGTGTGTGTGTGTGTGTGTGTGTGTGTGTCCCTCCCATCGTGTTTGAGCAGCTGAATATAATGGGAACCAGTAAGAGCAATAAATCCTCCCAGTTTAGAACTGACAGCTGCTGGGAAGCTTTTTCTGTTTCACCCTCAGCAACACGCCCGTTCTGCTCTCAGAGATTGTTACAACTTTCATTTCATAGGTATTTTATGGTATTTTTCTAACCTTACCTTACTTATGCCTTTATAAGGAACCAGTGTGGTTGATACTGAGTGACACACACAGGGTAGGGAAGTCAGAAAGTATCAAGAGATGGACAAACACATATTGGTTTTGGCCTTTTAATGGGATTTCTGAAGGGTAAAGGGTATGACGGAGGGTATAATCAGGGAGTATGTCATTATTTTGAGATGTTAAGTCATTATTTTGGGAAAGTTTCCAATTATAATGACTTACATGATCCTTTTTTTAATTTCATCACATTGGCAGAAATGAGCTTCCATAGAACCGTAATTCATTACTGAGAGAGAGGACTTATAATCAGGAGACAAATAATATCTATGATCTGATATTTATAAAGAACCGTCTGTGGAATTTGAAAAAGAAAATAAAACCAGTGGACACATGATCTACTGTAAAGACAATGAAAGCTCAGTTTCCTAAACCGTGGAGGGATTTTTCTGCTGTCGCTGGTTTCCTCTGAGTCAGCTCAGCTGTAGTCTGTAACAGCTGACTGCTCCTTTCATCTGTCTGTGTTTCATTCCTTCACTGCTGCTTCACACACTGTAACAGGAACTCAGCACAGATTCATTTGTAGCTACGTAAACGGTAAAGGCTGGATAGTGGCTCATGTAAAAGTGAAAGCCATTAAATTAAGATTAAGTACTTGATGATACTTTAAAAGCAAGTTGTTCTTTAAGTAAATAAATATGACAAAGTGATGAGAGTTTTGATCCTTTTTCTTAAATAGAAGAAGTGCCTTCAACTGACTTAACTAAATCAAAATACAAATAATAATAAAAATAGTCATATATCAGCTTATCAAATATTTGGTTTCATATTTTAAAAAGACTCAATAATTAACAGCTAAAACAGCTGCTCAATCAATAGAACAGAAAAAGTGCATTTGTTGGGGACTATTTTCAGCGGCGGATTAATCCCCATTTGTTGCTCTAGTGAGTATTCATGGCAGCAGGACGGTGTGTGTGTGGGACTGAGTTAAAAGACAGTGTGTGTGTTCATGGTACTGCAGGAATATGTCACCCAGTGCGACAGTGTGGCTCATTGATGTGTTTTTAATGGTAACAATGGAGCTCTATGGCACAGTGGAAGAAGATACATCAGGCTTTGATACACACACACACACACACAATAGCTCATTGTTGAGTTTGGTCTTTCGAACAAACATAATTTAGGTTAAACCCTAAAGAACTGAATTAAAACCGTGCAGGGTCCTTGTCTCGGTCCCACATTGTCTAAAGATGCTTCCAGAAGAAAATTCCTGAAGCGTTTGTTCGAGGATCAGCTGCTGCTATCGACCCCCTCTGTCTGACATTCAACCGACAGCTTCTGAAGACAACTGCTACTGGTCCACACACACACACACACACACACACACACACACACACACACACACACACACACACACACACACACACACACACTGAACCAACACCTATAAAGGCACCATAAAACTGTGGCATTCCCATTTATCTCTCCTCTCTTCTCCTGGCAGCAGGCAGGAATCAGCTGCAGTCAGGATGGCAGAGTAAGTCCTGATCTGAACTGAGGAACCTACAAAACTCACAGAATTACTATTAATCATTCTCACTTAAACTTCTTCTTGTTTCTCTAAAGGAAAAAGATGTCGTCGAGCCGGAGGAATCAGCTCAAGGTAGAGTAAGATAGAGTGGATGAAGTTCTTCTAATCTTCAAATTTGTGTTTAAAAACTGAATGTGAACTGAAAGATCATCAAGTGTTTAATGGCCAAATATTAAACCAACACGGTGTAACAGCAAGATATCTGCTGTGGTTTGATATGTGCGAGAAGCTCACACGTTTTGTTTGCACACAAAAGTTCTATAAAAGTTTTTGGTGTGAGAGTAAAGAGTGACAACCACACAGATCACGGGGCAGAAACTTTTTAGTCCAACAAATAAATAGATAATGTGATTATTTTTTGACCTACAAACAACCTTTATGGCAGGGGTCTCAAACTCAAATCAGCTGCTGGTTTTGTCCTCTCATAGGAGGGACACTTCAATGTTCAAGTACTACAAGAAAATGCAATATTTAAGTATTTCCATTATAAACAGCAGTTTCTCTACATTTTGATATCATCTTTGTTGTTCACACGCACACAACAAATGAAGGCCTTAAACCTGCTCTCATTTCATCAACCAGTTGTACGCATTTGACCTTTGAAATTATTTTATGTATATAAAAAGGTAGTTTGAAACAACTATAAAAACATAATTCAATTAATAATATTCTTGTGGGCCGGATTATTTTATATCTTAGACATCACATTGTGGGTTGGACGGAGGGGCCAGCAGTTTGAGACCCTTTCTTTATGGGGACATTGTCTCTTACTTTGGCTTTTTTTTGGCTTGTGACCCCTTAAAACAAAGCAATGTCACTGGTTACATTACGTCTATAACTACGTCAACCAAGCAGTGATTTATTTACTATATAATAACATTTTAAAGGTCAAATTAACTATATAATACAAGATGACAAGAAAAGAGATCAAATTAAAGGAATGCTTGGAAAAAATGTGTAACATACATGTCTGACCCCCAAGAGTTGCTTTACATGGTCATGATCCTCGGATGATTATTTCTGCTGATTTTTGGTGACCATCAGATAAAAAAATGTCCCTGTGACGGACACTGGAGGTACCTAGAAAACTAGTGGAGATGAAAATGGCCGCAGATATTCATTCGCCA